TGTATTTCATACCTAGACTTGATTTTTGGATATGTTATAGCCCTATGAGTCTAGTTTCATGTGAAACTAGAATTGCATCATTTGAATCTGTATTTTGGGACTTATGGTAGAAAGAGTGAAAAGGGGTCAAGTACCCATAAATAAATAAGTTAACCCTAAAGTCATATTTTGTACCTTGAGCATATTTAGAAGTTTGATCATGATAAAATGACTTATAAAAGTATATGTGTATGTGTTTATAGACGTCGAGGACATGAGGTGCAAGACGCGATGCATTGATAAACGACGAGGACGTCATTTTTGTGAGTTGAATAATAATAGTTGTGCCATGATGTGTTATTGCTATTGAGTGCTAATATTATGTTTATTGATATTGATACTATGATGTGAATGATGTGCCGTTTGCTAGTTAACATAAACGTTGTGTTTATTGATGTTATAACAATATTATGTTTATTGATATTGATACTATGATATGAATGATGTGTCGTTTGCTAGTTAACACAAACGTTATGTTTATTGATGTTATAATGGATATGTACCATGGTGTAAGCTATGGATGTTGTATATGCTATATGTTAAATATTCATGATATATGTAAGACTAAGAGGTTAAGGTTATGACTGGCTTGTCCAAGTTTCGCAAATACAAGTTTACAAGGACCCAACGGGTCAACTACAAGTTATAAAAGTTGTCAACAATACATGTGTACAAGTTTACAAGTTACAAGTACCGGGGTGAAACTTGACATGTCCAAGTTATAACCGATAAGAAAAAGAAAAACATGTAATCTTAGAGTCATATGAACTACCTGTATTATTTATATATGATGATACTGGATGACGTGATTGCATGTTATGGTTTCAATGGATTATTGTTCTCTCATTGAGTAGCATCTCATTAAAAATGCAATTATCTTTTTAGGTACTAGAAGCAAGAAGTGAAAGTTAAAGTCATCTTTTGTTGTTCAATTCACGTCATGAGTGACGAAGTCGGTCGGTGATCTCCCTCTCCTCTCTCTCATTATGCCGATCATATGCATCCTAGGAGATTTTTGAATTGTATATGTAACTATGCAAATATGAACTCCTGGAGGTGTTTTGAGACGTGTTTATGAACAAAGAAAAAGTGGTTTTGATTGAATATCCAAGGGTTATAAGTAGAAAGAATGTTGTTGATTAGGTTTTGAAGTGTTATGGCTGAAAAACCCTTGTTTTGGGCGGAAATGTACACGGGTAGGTACACGCTCGTGTGGAAGGCTTGTAACCTTCTATTTTCAAGGGAAAATGAGTTTTAAGTTACACGAGCAAGTACACGACCGTGTTGGAGGCCGTGTAACCTGTCGCCCCAAAAACAAAAATTCCTAATCTTTCTAATATGAGGTTTTAATGGTCCTAAGTGATATTTTGTGATTAATTGAGTTTTCTAAAACTAAATTGGCTAAGTTATACAAAGTTTTTATAAGGAATTAGGTTAAGGACGCTACAGGTACAAGTACCCTTTCGAAACTAGACCTAAGCATAGTTTAAATAAATGAGATTTTTTAACTATTATGGATATTTAAAAAAAATAGAGAAAGATAAAGCATTCCAATTAGAAAATTTAGCCTAATTAAGTAAAAATCTACTCCACTAATTTGAGTTGCTCGGTAACTATAAATGAAAAGACATGCATATGTAGATTATGGAAATTATCTAAAATTCCATATTGCCATGCTATGCCATCTCTTATGAACATATAGCTAAATCTTGAAGATTTTATTGATGATCGGTATTATAAGGATAAATATCTTTAAGCTTACCGAGTTTTTGATGAAATTTGTAAATGGTGATGAGTTTTGGAAAAGAAGCTGGAAAGCCTTTTTCTCAACCACCACCCTTCAAAGTAGGTCTTGGAAGAAAAAAGCTTAATAGAATAAGTGAGGAAGGAGAGCTAACGGTTATAATAGGAAAGCTATCAAGAAAAGGAAGAAAATGACTTGTTGTTAATATTATAAACAAGGATATAATAAGATTTCTTGCCAAGTTTGAAAGGATGGAGTGTCATTAGTTTTAAAACATATAAATAAACATCGAGAGACCAATTATAAGTTAACTCATTATTTTTCATTGAAATGGTTTGTTTATATGCTTATTGTAAGTTAACTCATAATTTTCATTTTCAATTTGTATTAAATTTAGACCATGACGGATACGGATCAAGGATCGGGTACAACTTAAGGTTCAAGTATTGTTTAAAATGGTTCTGCTCAAGGTTTAGATATAGCTCGAGGTTCAAGTGTTATCCAACAAGGTTCGCTCAAGGTTCGGACGATGCAATGGGTGCTAGCAAAAGGACTATAAGGCGTAAAGCCAAGGTTAAAAGAGAATAGAGACATTATTATGGTGAATCTATTTAAAATGTGAGTTTTAAATACAAGTGCTTGTGAATTTTCATTGTAAAGGGTTGTTAAGTTAATGGTTTTGTACTTATTGTTTTTTATTTTTTTAGACTCAAGGTAATGAAGGAATAAGAATAGTTTCCAGTAGTTTCATCACTATAAATTAATTGTTAGCAATATATATATATATATATATATATATATATATGTGTGTGTGTGTGTGTGTGTGTGTGTGTGTGTGTTAAAAAAAAGTTGTTGCAATTGAAGAAGAAAAAATATCCAACTAATGCAAAGTCAATTGAATAGGAAATAAAAAGCCAATAATGCTTGCTAACCAACTTAGAACTCAAGAGTCTCAAGTAATATCCAAGTGAAAAGGTTCTTGAAGTTTACATAAACTAGAACTTAGGAGATATTATGAAAGCTTTCTTTTTGTAATTTGGATGTTAATATGTCATTTATTCAAGCTTGTTATTTTGGATGTTAATATGTGATCTAGCCATACTTGTAATTTTGGATGATGTGATCTAGCCATACTTATAATTTAGATGTTAGTATGTGTTCTAACCATACTTGATTTTGTTTTAATGAAATTGGTAATGTTGAAAATTAAGTTAGTTGCTGGCTTGAGTTATAAATTCCTTGTATAATTGCTATCTTTGAAGTGTTGATTGTGATGTTTACAATTACTTAGTAAGGACTTATAAAAATTAGATTGAAGTTTGTAGTTAATTTGTTCAACCTTATTGAAGAAAGAACTCTTCCCGATTTTATAATAGATCATAATAGTGGAACAATGCTAGTTTTACTCTAATAAATATTGTTACCCTTTTAATATTCAAAATTAGTGGTTTTGGAACTTTTTTAGTTTGTCAAATGTTTAACGACCTTTTTCTTGAGAAAAAGTGAGCCTATTAATTAATTTTCAACAATTGGACCAAGATTGCTTAATATTCATGTTCATTTTTATGTGCTTATATTTGTTTGATCAATCTAGGCTAGAGTCAACGAAGACCATGAAGTCCTTAAGACTCGGTTATGGCTGGAGAACCTTAGCTCTTGAATTTGTCTAATGAAGTTGGATGTAAATACACTCGGAATTGTATCTAACAAGTAGTCAAAATATGAATTTTCATTTATAAACAAAATAGCTTCAATGAAGCATTTTTGCAAATACTTCATGGACATTGTTAACATTAGCCTAATAAACTAAAATACTTGCCTACACACAATCATTCGTTACTCATACAAATCAATTCTATCCATAAAATTTGCAACTTGATCTATCTAACCAACCATCATAACATAAAATATATGTCTCCCTTTCACAAACATATTTTATCATTATAGCAATTCAATTCCTCTCATCAAGAACATTGAAGAAAATAACAAAAAGAAAGACAATCCATGTCATTGTAACCCACAACTTCATTTTTCAATTGTTTCTCATGCTCCTCTCTAATTCATCTTCGATTCTCTTGATTCTTCTCAATAAGCCAAGAATAATGACTCTGCTTCTTTCATAAATTGGGGGATCAATCCATTAGAAAAAAAATACAACCACACTTGAAAGGAGCATACAATAAAAAGTTGTTAACGAGTGAACAATCATGAAATGAAAAACTAGAAATTAAAGGATGGAAGAAAATGAAAGCTTGCCCAAAAATGCTCATAAGAAATGAATCTCATACCAAGATTTAGATCGATCCAAGAAGTCCTTAACATAACTTGCCTTTGATAACCATAAAGCATTTAAATTAGTATTGCATGCAATCTGTTCTATTTTTGTGTTTTGATTTTAGGGATCAAGATGATAGAAATAAAGGAAGATAAGGTGACGAATCTTTGTTTTTAGGGTCTAAGATGACAAAAGGAGAGGAAGCTCAAGTGAAGAACAAACTTTGTGTTTTTAGGTTTTGAATTTAATGTTCAAAATTTGCAGAAAAGAGAAAAAGGGAAAAAGGAAGAATGGGCTAGCTTACACAAAAGGAAAAAAATTGCTGAATGAAAATTAGTAACTAAAAATTTGAGAGAAAAGATAAAAAAGAAAAGGTCAAAAAAGTCATTTAGTCTTTCCGGTTAACTATTACGTCATTAATTGATAGAAAATTGGATGAAAAAGCTTAATTAAAAATTTTGAAAATTTGATATATTCAAAAGACTAAAATAAAAGTTGACATACGCAATTGGGAAAAAGTTTAAAATTGATGTACTTAAAATGTAATTATCTCTCAAATAAAATTAAAATCTTAGGGTTAATTGAAAATTTTGTAATTTAGGGAGGGAATTGATGGAACTTCCAAACTTAGAGTAGCTTTGTATTTTTTCCTATTTTAAAAAGCACCGCGTCCTAAACTTTCGCCATCAATCACTCGCTCTGTCTCAATAAAATAATAACGAGGCGTGTTGACTATAAAATAAAGTGCATCCTTTCCTTGTTGCTAACCAATCATTCTCCTCTACCAAAACCCAACCGACCATTCATTCTCCTTGTTGATCATACAGAGAAACCAAAGGGCCGGATCCGAGAACAGGAACTGTCTCATTAATTACTCTCTCTGTCTAAGGTTTTTTTTTAGGATCTGTTTCTTTCGATTTTTGGTCCCAAAAGAAACAAAACATGCCTGCGGGAACTCTTGGAGTACTTCTTGTTGGTGCTAAGGGTCTTGAAAACTCTGATTTTCTTTGTAAGTCTATATATCTGTATAGCTCTCTTTCCAGATTTGTTATCTTGTTCGTTTTTGAGAATTGAGAATCTGGGTTTAATGGATATTTTTAGTTTGATTAGTACAAGATAATTGCAAGAACAAGGAAATTTTTATTTGATCTACATTTTTTAGCACTGATATGTTGACATTTTCACTATTGTGTGCAAGCAGAATTTATGTGCCCATGTACCCTTCCTTTTAATTTATAGTATTGAGACCATTTAATTTGGATTGTTGATCACTTTTCCAATGGGCAGATCAATATAGGTATATGGTCGGCTACTGAAAAGTTTTGAACTCTTTTGTGTTTCCTTAAGTAAAGGCTGATGTTGGCTAGTTGATGAGACTAAATTGAATATGTGACCAGGTGACATGGACCCGTATGTCATCCTGACTTGCAGTTCCCAGGAGCACAAAAGCACTGTTGCTTCAGGTTAATTATGTCTCTAATCACATTGAAATTTCACCCAAAGAAAAAAAAATGTGAACGATGCTATATGCCCTTGGCATAGCTAGAATTTTGAGTTGCATAGCTGATATTAACAAATGAATCTGGCAGGACAAGGTAGCGAACCAGAGTGGAATGAGAATTTCTTATTTACCATATCCGACAGTGTGACAGAACTTACATTGAAAATAATGGACAGTGACTCAGGTTCTGCTGATGATTTCCTTGGCGAAGCAACGTGAGTATATTTTCGCTTTAAAGTTACTGATTTTTCATGTCGCATTAGTACAAAATGTGTATATGCCATTTGCCTATGATTTGTTTTTCTTCAAGTGTGTCTATGATATAGAATACTTGCATAAAATTCAGTAAGAATAAATTTTTTCGCAATTCTATTACCGAAGGGATAATTTAACCTTGTTTCAATATATTGTTTAATGTACTATTTTTGTTCTTAATTTTATTGTGTTCAAAATTTTTAGTTCTATGATTTAAATTTGTCCGGACTTCAGTGTGATTTTCTTTATTGATTTGGCCAAATCAAACTGATAAACAGTGTGAAAACCAATGAAAGGGACAACACAACCTTAATACATTGCACTTTATAATGAGAATCAAGAAAGTAAGAAGATCTTTCTAGAAAAAAGAAAACAAAAAAGAAAAAAGAAAATAAGGAGTTCAAAAAGAATAAATAAATTTCTATGTGCACCAGAGTTTTTTTTTTTTTTTTTCAAGATCTTTTTATCTTCTTTTTTTCTAAATTTGAGCAAATTAACCTATTATTTTTTAATTTCTTAATCCAAGTAAATCTTTGATTTCATTGGGGAGATCAACTTATGGAAAGATTGTAATTTTAAAAAATTCGAATATATGACGTAAAGACATGTAAGAAAATATTGGACGGCCATGGGCTCCCAACCCAACCAATGCTGACGGGCTGAGCCTATCTTAAATGGAGAGGCCATGGCCTCCCCCAACCAAAGCTAATGTTTAATGGTTGGTGTTATTCTCCCTCTATAAAATTTTAATATCACTCCACATTTAATGTAAGTTTTATTAACACACTATATTGCTCCTTATGTTTTAGTATGGTTATGAAGTTTTTTGTTTTGACATAGTCAAAATTTATTGAAATAATATTTTCTAATAAATTAAAAAAAAGTCGATAAAAATTGAAATTTTTAAAATTTTAATTACACTATTATACTTTTCGAAATAATTATTTTATTGTTAGATGATATTTGAAACACAGAAAAAATTCTTTAATTAGAAAAAAAATGTAGTATGATAAAAAATATAAAGCAATTAAATTCAGTGATGGGTAATGATATATGATGAGGTCCTAGATCTTTGACTGTATGAACGGTAGGAATGGCTTTTTTCTTTGCTGTCATGTAGAGTTGGTGTGTTCTTTTTTAATTTACTTTCTAAAGAAAAAATTAGCAATTAAAATTTAATTACCCTATTATACTTTTTGAAATAATTATTTTATTGATAGATGATGATATTTGAAACACAGAAAAAATTCTTTAATTAGAAAAAAAATGTAGAATGATAAAAAAAAACATAAAGCAATTAAATTTAGTGGTGGATAATGATATATGATGAGCTCCTAGATCTTTAATTGTATGAATATGATGAGCTCCTAGATCTTTAATTGTATGAATAGTTGAATTGCCTTTTTCTTTGTTGATCATGCGGTGATGGTATATCCTTGCTTTGGAGTCTTGGTGCAGATACTTGCAAATTAAAATTCTGTTTTTGGATTTTGAAAACCCTTCTGACGATTAGGTTAGCGCATAGAAAGAGAGAAATATAGTATTATTAGGTTTAGATGTATATCTGTATATGCATTGCCTGAATAAACTTGTGGTGACTTGTTTTTCTAGGAAAAATATACCAAAAAGATTATCTTGTTAAGTTTTAGAAGTAGGAGAACTTCATTGGTTATTTCAACCATTTATTTGTAAGGAAGCCTATCATTAAGAGGGTTCGTTCTTTTCTTGTAAAGTGCGAGAAAGGCATGTCTTTTCTGAGCCTTGTGTTCTTTGTACGGTGGAGTATGACATTCGTGGTGACGCGAGAGTATCCTGGTCGTGGTGTTCGGGTAAAGAGTACTTCTCGTGTGTCTTGTGTTGGGCAAAGTGATTCACTAGGGTCTTATATTGGGCTAGTTTTTTAGCGGCTCATCGTTTCTTTATATATATATATATATATAATTTTTTGAAAAAGAAAATTTCTGATTTACAAAACCAATTAGAAAAAGAAATTTGTTATGATTTATCAAATGCTTTCTAGAGTAGGAAATACCACTTTGTTGACCTATCCTATGATTAGGATTTTGATGATAGACAAATTCCTATAAAAACTAGACCTATCCAAATGAATGCTGATCTAAAAACACATTATAGGTTAGAAATTCAAGATTTAGAATTCAAATGTCATCCAAAAATCTAGATCGCCTTGGACTTGTGTCGCTTTCTATGTCAACAAAAACTCGGAGATAGAAAGAGGCACGCCTAGGTTAGTTATCAACTATAAACCTTTAAACAAAGCCCTTAAATGGATCGGGTATCCTATTCCTAATAAGAAGGACTTATTACAAAGGTTAAATTCCGCATTTGTCTTCTCTAAGTTTGACATGAAATCTGGATTTTGGCAAGTCTAAATTCATCCTAGCGATAGATACAAAATTGCCTTTACTTGTCTCGTTTGGACGAGTATGAATGGAATGTTATGCCTTTTGACCTAAAAAATGCACATTCTGAATTTCGAGAGGATCATGAATGACATTTTTCATCCTTATGCCGATTTCGGCATTGCTTAAATATTGATGATGTATTAATATTATCTATGTCTATAGAACAAAATTTTAAACATCTAAAAATATTTTTCTATGTGACAAAAAAGAATGATTTAGTTGTTTCTAAATCAAATATTTCTCTCGTTTCAAACTAGGATTCGTTTCTTAAGTTATCATATTACTCAAGGAACAATCTCTCCCGTAGCAAGATCCTTAGAATTCGCCAATAAATTCCCTAACAAGATTCTAGACGAAACCTAGTTACAAAGGTTTTTAGAAAGTCCGAATTATGTTTTAGATTTCTATCCAAATATTAATCGAATTACAAAACTCCCGTATAATATGTTAAAGAAAAACCCAGTTTCTTGGTCTAAAGAGTACACTAGGATAGTTCAATAGATTAAGAGACAAGTCTTAGAAATTCCTTGCCTCCACCTAGCCGATCCTTCTTTACCAAAAATTGGAGAGACCGATGCTTCAAACATAGGTTACGGTGGTATTCTCAAACAAGTATCTTTGGGAAAAGAAAACATTGTGCGGTTTACTTCGCTCATTGGAATGATTGTCAAAAGAATTATTCCACTATAAAAAAAAGAAGTATAAGCATTTTCATGTGCATTCAAAAATTTCAAAACGATTTATTAAATCAAAATTTTCTTTTACGAATTGATTATAAATCTGCTAAAAAATTTTTACAAAAAGATGTTCAAAACATTACATCAAAACAGATTTTTGCCGGATGACAAGCTATCCTTAGTATTTTCGATTTCGAAATTGAATTTATTAAAGGAGAAAAAAATTACATCTCGGATTTCCTAACTAGAGAAAATTTTCAAATAGGTTCTCGATGGCCAAAAAGAACAAAGTGAAAAAAACCCCTTATCACGTACACAAAAAGCCCATCTCCAAAACCTATCTCTTCAAAGAAAACCCATTTTATCTTGGGCCGATGCTATCTCAAATCATGAATCCGAAACTCCTATCAAAGCCCGAGTCCATTGAGACTTGGGTCTAAAATTTGGCAAGTCGATCGAACTCCTTCGGCCCTCCAAGTAAATCTCGGGCATGACTCCTTAGCATGTTTCAAAATTAGAAAAAGGCTCTTCCTCGAAAAACCCCTTTCTCAAGAATCGATTAATTCTTTAAAACTAATTTCACAAAACACTCGGATTGTTTCTTCACAAAACAAATTAAAAAAATCGAATCGAGTAGTTCTTGAAAAAATATTTTCAAAATATTTTTACGAATTGAAGATGGGTATTACTACGGTGATCCTTGTAAAATTGTTCAAAATTTTTTCCTTCAAGGATGATTTTTCAAACCATGGGACTTATCAAAACCCCAAGCCTATTACATGGCTATCCTTGAACAAACACAATCGGCAAGCTTCAAACATTTTCTTACCCTCGACAAAGCCAAAACAAGCCTACTCCACTTGCCGGATCCATAACATAACCTATCCTCTTGATTGGGGACATGACATTTCAAATCAAATTCCTTTCCTAGAAAATTTTAAACCTAATGTCAATAATTGTCTTTTTTTCTCTTACCGGGATTATCAGTAGGTATGGTTGAACACTATTTTCCTCTAAAACGAAAGGGAAGTCACTCATGACCTTTCTACTTTAATTCAAAATTTGTCCGCACAAATGTTCTCATGTGATTCCTTCAATGGTGGAACTATTTTGGTCCTCTCCCGTAAATACTTACCCCTAGTGTTTCGAGAGTTATGTTCTATTCAAAACAAACTACAAACCTACGGAAAAAGAAAAAAAGATTTACCCTTCTTTTTCTTTTTTGTACAAAATTCTTTCTTACATGGGTCTATTCTTGGTATTATGATACTAATTATTAAGAATAGATTATGATGTTTGTAAGAAGATTCAACGTAAAATGATGGGATTCATTTAAGATTCCATCCTTTTTTATAAAGGTTTCAGTGGAACAATGGCTTAAAAAACAAGGCTTTATGAAGCCTAGTCTAACCACCTCAAGTTTTTTAGCTCAAAAATCTTTTATAAATGCTAGGTTAGCAGTAGCAAAATCGGAAGAACAATATTTTACCATCATGTCCGAATTGATGCAAAATAGATCAAACTCCTCCCAAGTAGAAGACTTTGGTATAGAACTCGAGATAAATTTGGGTGAAAACAATGAAGATGATTACTTTGGAATCTTTTCTCCTGTTCACCACTTGTGAATTGCAGGACAAAACAACTTTCGACGTATGATTCGTTCATCCATACGAATGCTAGGACAAAACAACTTTCAACATCTCACTTTTCATTACTCGTTCACTCACGTGAGATATTGTTAATCACTATTCAATACAGACTTTCTTTCTTTTATAAAAGGAAGCTCATTCCTCATTTGGAGGGAGAATGTTTTTTTTTTTTTAGAAAAATTACGTAGAACACAAACTCTTTGTAAACTTGTTCT